GTCAATAATAAAATGAGGACCGATACGAATACTTTACGCGTCGTACGGAACAATAAATTCGATATGACGATGCATTATCATTTAAATAGCGATTGTCCGCGCAACAGTCTGCAACGGTTTGAGCGATTTTTATGAGACTGTACGGCTACAGAAAATGCCCGCACTTTCACGTGCCGAGAAACATTAAAAATGTTTACGACCGAAATGAATGTAATAATTATATTTGTCTGTATACGGTGGCTCGTAAAGTATATGTAAGTGCGCGGAAAGTTAAAAGAACAGAAGTCGAATGGGAGGACGTATAGAGTAATTTTATTTATATCTGTGCGCGTCGATACCATTTTTCCGAACCAAATACCGATTGTGAACGTTAATATAGCTGTTTATTTTTTTCACGTAGTTTCCGTTTAATACGTGATTAATACTAACGCACTAGAACACACACAGCAAATTCACGCGTATGAAGTGTACACAGCGAGTACCGATTTTTCATTCGCGTGTTTACGAATTTCGCGTTCGCGTACGTATTGTTCCGCGATATTTAAGGACGCCGCTAATAATATTGCCAGTCGTAGTTTTTCCCCGGTCGTTAATATAGCCGAGAAATAAACGAACAATTGTCTGTTTTTCCCGTTTATCGAGAAAACCACAAGGAAAATCGGAAATACAGACATCTCGTACCAATCAGATAAAACGAGGTTTTTGATCGAAGTAAAATTTCCGGTTGACAAATTGTTTACGGTCACACGGCCAAAAACAAACACATGTATAATAAAACCGATGCGTTGTTCACCGCGCTCAGAATTCAAAATACCCACGCGAAAAACGGACACAATTATATTGTACGTTATTATTATTATTGTTATGAAATGGTCCGGTTGAAAGCAGCGCGCAGTAAAATATTATCAACTGTACTCGTCGAGTATACACAAGTATACTATACGTGTATAATGAATACGCCCATCGGAGATGCTGGAGATAAGCTCTGCGCTGCAGGATGAGGGGGCGCACTTAAAACAATCCCTACGGGTAATTCGATTTTTTTTGTTTTGTTAATTATTGTCCTTTCATGTGTAAACACAAGGCACAAAGGGATTTCGGGGTCACCCGCTGACGATAATAATCATCGAAGAGCACCACCGGCGCGCGCGACCCCACTACAGCAACAATAGGTATATATGAAACAATAAAGCAAAAAAAAAAAAAAAAAAGAGAGAAGAGAATTATTATTATTATTATTAAACGTTATAGCGCGCGCGCGCGAAACAATACACGTCGGGCGGGTGTAACCGGTTTTTAGATTTCGGAATCTCTTTTATTTTTATTTTTTGTCGGTCCTTTACTGTTTCATTTCGGATTAACAAGCGCAGCTCCCTCCCCCCACGACCCCTTCCCGTAAAACCCCCGCGTTTTGCACGGCTCGGGAGCTGTGACGAGAAACTCATTTGCATAAACATAATGCGGCTCATCCCATCTGTCAGGATCCGCGCGCACGTTCCCAGTGTTTTACTCGCGTATACGCCATCACAGCATGCGCACGCCCGTATTTCTCGGCTAATTTCCATTTAATGGGTATTAAAAATTATTAATATATCGCCGTTAAATCGCTAAAAAAATTAAAAAAAAAAGCAATAATTTATGACGCAAATATTGAAATGCCGTGTCGAGAACCGGATGGATCACGTCATCACGTCGCGTCGTCGGTCAGACCGCGGATTCAAAATATTTGTACAAAATGTGTACTCGTGTACAAATATGAAGGAAAAGAAGAAGAGTGGATATTTGTCGAAATTGCTAAAGGCTCGAAATGGCCGGAGCAAAAAGTAAAACCTCCTTTAAAAAAAAAAAGGTAGGATACTGTTCACGGGTAGTGGTTGTACAATGGGAAGTCAGGGAAAATATGGGACAATGTTTAGAACGTTTGTTTACCGTATGTTAAGACGCGAACGAATAACGGAGTATAACGTCAAGCTTTTTATTTTTTTGATAATCTTTCTACGATTCGACAGTTTAATTGATTTGCAGCAACTGCAAACACGTTTGCGATTGCTGGTCGTGATCGAAACGAATCGTATCGTAAATTCAAAATAAAAACGTTAAGGAAAACAAATAAAACGATATTACTTACGGAATTTCTCTTTTTTTTTTTTCCACCGTCCGGTATAACACTGTCTTATAATGTTATGATGGAATCATGTTCACGGATCTGTTGGCGTTTTCACGGTACCGACAAATGTAATCCGCGCAAAACCTGCAACGAAAACAAAAACAGTTGAAAATTTCAAAGAAGCTCGGAAAATCGGGGACGTTTTCAATAAACCGTGCCGCGTCCAGAGAACGTTAATCGTAGTGTGTTCGGCGAAAACCGCAGGACTATGTGGCGGGAATATTTTTCACCGGACACGGAACGCTGTCGGACAGGCGAAACGGGCGCCGGCGAGAGCCCCGTCGTCGCGCGCGCAAACGTCGCCGGGTTTCCGCCGTTAACCGCGCAGGGTACGAGACCGTCGCCCCGGACGGCCGGCCGAGTCCGCGGCGACGTTCCCGGACGAAACTCGCGGCGGCGGACTCGTTGTCACCGCGGTCGTAATCGTTTTCGTAATCGCGCGGTCCGAAAAAACCGATGCCGGGCCGTCCCGCCGGAGGACGCGACGCGGCAACAAAATCGTTACCCGGTCTCGAGATTCACATCTCGATGCGCCGGTTTCCGCGGTCCGTTTACGGGCCGTGCGCGATTTAACGCGCCCTGTGCACAGGACCGCGGCTATCGGTTTCTCGACCCATTTAAAACGCCGCGTACCGGGTCGTCCGGCGTCGCGGCGAGACCAGTCCTCCCGACGGCTTTAACATTGTCGCGCACACTCAACCGCCGTGCTTCTACCGTAATAACAACGGCAAACGACAATATTACGAATTGCATACAACGGCCGCATACCCATTAGCAATGTATAAATACGCGATCGCATCGCCGTAATCGGTGCGAGTTTTTTTTTTAAATTTTTTTTTATTATCGTTATTATTTTAATCTGCGCGTTGCTAAACGCACGACGACGTGGCGCGAGAAGAAAAAAAAAAAAATAAAAAATCGTCCGAGTTTATTGACGGCTTGCCGGTGTCGGCCGCCGCCGAGCAGACCGGACGACAAATTGATCGGCATTCGCCGTGCGGGTATATCGTGCGGCGTGCATAATAAAAATTACCGCAAGTACCGATCTATAATATATATTTTATAAACGGAATTTTTTCATTTTTTTTTTCCTCCGTACGCGCGCCGCCGCAATAATATACTTAACGTCTAAATGCCGCGTCCGTGTCGCCGGCACAACCTGCTGCACAACCGCGAAACGCCGCACCGTCTGTGGGCCGTGCCCGACGGCGCAGATTCCGCCGAAACCTCTACCCGCCACACCGCAGCATCCGACCGACAGACGGGATAAAAATTTCCAATACCGCGCCCGGTCCCGGCTCGGACGCTTAAACGCGCCGGACCGAACCGAAGTTTTGCCGCCCCTTAGACACCGTGTGACGTCGACAACTCCGGACGCCATCCCCGAAAAAATGCCGCCCCAGGCGTGATCCTGTGTCGCCTACCCCTCGATCCGAGCCTGGCCGCATACCCGTACGTATTCGTATTCGATTCGGTTGACGTTTCATCCGATACGTGCTGTATTATCATTTAATATTCGCGACAGACCGCACAGACTGATGAAATCGAAACTGTTGTGTGGTGCACGTTTTCGGACGACTACGGCTTACGGACGTTACTTACGTTTATAACAGTTACAAGTTATTATTACCCAGTGCTCTAAACGACGCAAATTCCGTACGACGGTGTTATCCCGTTATCTACGCGATCGCGAGAGAAAACGATACCGCGATTTCGATTTCGATCCGACGCCGTAGATAATAATATTTGATAAATGTTTCGTACCCGAATTGTACAACCGGTACCGAATATTTACCGAACATAATGCTAGAAAAATTATGTTCCACTTTACGTTGTCGTACCGGTTGTTGGAGCGTGGTATCACTGATCGCGTGCATATAATCCGGACGGAAAAACCCTGGTAGATCGAATTTGGAATCGATTCGATTTCAATGTCCGTAAACTACTTGGCGACTCGGTACATTATTAAGTACGATTAGACCACTTTTGTTCAGTTCAATATTTTTGATGTTTTCAAGTTTGCTATTTGTTTTATATTATATTTAATCTTGCGCTACAGTTGGAATACTATTAAGATTTTTTTTTGTGAGGTTAGAGTGTGAGGAGAACGTTAAAAATAAAAATAAAAAAAACAATTGTATTAAATGTACGTAATAGGCTGTAATGTATTACGGCAGCAGATTTAGAAAATAACAAGAAAAATCTGTACAATTCATAATGTGTTCATAAAAAAAAAAAAAAGCTTAAAAATCGTAAAAAATAAATTGTTTCAATATTTAATATCTAATTACATATTATAAAAGTTCACGTTGCACCCAAACATTTAGAAAAATACAGTGTAATAGTTTCGTGCAAAACGCTCAACGCAACACGCATTTCGTTTCGATAATTCGCAACTGTTATAATATCAAAAGTCAAAATGTACATCACTCGAAATGCAAATTACTTTCCAATAGCAGATAACAAGTTCATTGCGAACACGGAAAATTCGATCATTTTGACGTATACTATATGTGTAATTATTATATAATTATGCGCGTTTACGCGCGGTGTATTACAATGCGCTTCGTCCAAATGCATTTCGGAATATTATAATATAATGAATTCGCAATACCCTCAGGGGCACACTTAGTGTTGCGGGTTTAGCGAACCCCGGGCCCCGAGCTATGGCGCGGGGAAAGTGGCGCTGCCATCACCCAATACATCCAGGATGCATTGCAGTAGTCCTACTCTGGCGTTAATTGGTTGGGGCAGTCTAGCCCTCCAAGTTGCGGGTATAACGCTGGGCTAACGACCCAGCCTTGTAAAAATTATTGTTCAGGATCCAAACGAAATGCCTCGGAATAGTGGAGCTAAGGAAAACAAATATGGAAATCGGAAATCGAATCTTTTTTCGGGTACATGGAACGTTCGCACATTATTTCATACTGGAGCAACGCATATTATAACACGTGAAGTAGAGAGGTATGGATTTATAATTGTGGCTACTCAAGAAACTAGATGGCAAGAAATAGGGTCCCTAGAGATAAATAATCATACAATTTTCTTTAAAAAATGTGATGATCGACGTCAATTTGGTACTGGTTTCATAGTCCACAAGTCCTTTGTACCAGCTGTGAAGGAATTTAAGTCAGTTAACCCGAAAATATCAATGATAACAATCAAAGCACATTAGTTGGATATAATTTTGGTCAATGTTCACGCCCCCACCGATGAATAAACTCAAAAAAAAAAAAAAGACAATTTCTGTAGTGAATTGGAAAATGTAATGTACCTAATAATAGGAAACAGATTATCATAGGAGATTTAAACGCAAAGATTGGAAAAAAAGTAATATTTGAGCCTATCATTAGACACCACAGTTTACATGAAGTCACTAACGATAATGGCCTTAATGTGATAGATTTTGCAACTAGTAGAGGCTTAGTGATAAAGAGTACAATAAAAATATCCATAAGAGAACATAGAAATCACCAGATGGAAACCATATTAATCAAATTGATCATGTATTGATTGATAATAGATTTAAAAACTGCATTACAGACGTGGAAACTATGCGAGAGACTGACTGCGACTCGGATCGTTATTTGATTGAGGCCACCCTCAAGAATACAGAAATTAAGGTGAAAGTGGCATCAAAAGCGTCAAGCCCAGTTAAAGTAACCACCGGCATAATGCAAGGAGACGTTCTATCTCCAATACTATTCAATTTAGTATTGGAGAAAGTAATCAGAAGAATTAATATCAGTGTTGATGGTGCAACAGTACTACAAAATTCAAACATAAATCTCCTTGCCTACGCGGATGATATAGTATTATTATAAAATACCGAAGAAGGGGTAAAAAGATTATGTGGGGAAACTCTTGACTACGTCAAAAAATCGGATTATATGTTTACGACGGAAAAACGGAATTCGTGATAATAAGTCGTCAAGATAAAGAATATCAGCAAGGGCAATTTATGAATGTAGAAGAGCATACATTTAAGAGAGCGATACACTTTAAGTACTCGAGTCACCTTCTAACGCAAGACAACGACTTGAAAATGGAAATCAGTAATAGAATACAAAGGGGTTATAAGAGCTTTTTGTGTCTTTTTGGTCTTGGAAAAATATTGAGCTCAATATCTACATCAGTTAACCCGAAAATACAGATATATACGAGCCTAATAAGACCTATATAATACTATATGCCTCAGAGACGCGGCCACTTAGGAAAATGGAGGAAACGTGATTGAAAGTTTTCGAAAGGAGAATTCTTAGGTGAATCTATGGCCCCTGCAACGACACCCACACGGGAAAGTGGAGTAAACGTCACAACTGTGAACTAGAAGAACTGTTTAAAAGACCAGATATCGCAAAAGAGATTAAAAAGAGGAGGCTGACGTGGGCAGGTCATGCGTGGCGAAAAATAGGCTCAATAGTCAGAACGACTATCGAGGAGAATCCTATCGGTAAGATGCTACTGGGAAGACCACTACTACGTTGGAAAACTGCGTGAAAACGGACGTGGGAAAGATTCGACCATATATACCGTGGAGGGTAGCAGCAGAGGAAAGCGATGGACGGAGAGGAATTTGTTTTGCGGGTATGGTCTCAATGACCGGAATCCCCCCCTCCTAAAAATAAATTCTAAATACTATAAATATAATTTCGGCGGTAAGTCGAGAATTACAATACATAGTTAATAAAAACGCCGAAATTATTAATATTGTAAAACGCTCACCGTTTTAGTATAATATTGTTTTTGAAAGTTTCCGTCGTAAAATAACGTGAGCGCAGTTTGCATAAAACGTCAGCGCACGCTGTAAACAACACGCAATTTTTTCCATTTTATTTTTTTTTTATTTTTAATTAACCCGTTACACATTTTTATTCACAACGAGATACTAAAAAAAAAAGTATTACAGTAAATCTTAATAAATAAAAATTAAAACAACAACTGCAACAATAAATTAAAATAAGTAGGACAAGGATATTTACGCTAATAATGCACCGAGTTTGCGACATCTGGTCGATACGTCTCTATTAACAATCTCCTTTTGGTTTAAATGTTCCGATCGTAATGATATTATTCTGCGTAACGGTGTATGCTAAAATAATAATATTTTACCGGTATCTGTTTACGGACAGACGCAGACACGGGCGACAATGTCTGTATGCGATTGCTTATGACTTCCAATCGTTTTCCCTGTTCGTATAGCGACGGGCTATTATATTCGTTTTCTTCTAGATTCCGAACGGAGTGAGATACATAGTAAGATAATACTTTGACGTGACATTGCTGGACTGTGACATGCCGTCGACGTCCCGCGTATAGTGCGAATCGGCTTCGAACCAATTTCCCGCCGGAAATCTCGTCGCGATCGTCACAATTTAAGTGTCTGGTTTCCGGTAGTTAACGTGGTGTAAAGACGTGCGGTTTTAGCAGAACACACGTTTTTAGACGCGGTAAAATTATCAAGGAATTCTGGCGATTTTTAAGCTACCCGTATAGTCATTTGAAATACCCGAGGTTTTTATTATTTTCCATTTGGTTTTACGCGGACGTAAACGCTCGACAGTTTAACACGGGGTTCATCGTAAGCGGTACTTACCAGTGTGTTCCTGGCCGCCTTTGAAGTCGACGAGTTTTCCGGTCAAAAAGTTTGTTTTATAGAAAAACAAAAGCATAATATAGTAAAACTAATAACGTATCACTCGATTCGCACAGAATTCACGATTTTATCGCGCAGTTATTTTCGAGCACTCGAATACGTATAGTAATACGCATCGCGTGCGCCATTTGAACGAAGTTTTTCTCCGGTTTTTTTGTTTTTTTTTTTACACGAATCGATTTACTATTTATCGTTTCTAAATTTCTAACGTCGGAAGAACAAAATGCATCACATTGTCCAAAACGGAAAATAATGTATGTCTCGAGGAAATCGTGTATGGTATATTATACAACTGCACTCTGCACTCCGCAGTCTACACGCGTGTGGCCGAGTTTAATTACCGAGTTGTTTATATGGAAACGGTTTTTTTTTCTTAGGTTTTTTTTTTTTTATTGTTTTTGTTTTTTTTTTTTTTTCAAAATAACATTGACAAACAAACTCTTCACCGCCGGCACGTGCGTAGTCGAAAACGAAGTAGTATATACAACAATAAAAGGTCAATTTAATGTGTGTGTTTCTAAAAATGTAAATGCGTGCGTGCGTGCGTACGTGCGTGCGTGTGTGTGTGTGTGTGTACATATTAAATCAATCGACTAAAATATAATTTTATAGTTTTCGTTTGTTTGCTTTTGTGCGTGCATCATGTTACTTATACTTCACGTGTACGACGTGCGCCAAGTGTATTTTCTTCAAACGATATTGTTTATAATTTAAATGCATACGACTTGTATAATGTACCTGCCTGCCTATACACACACACACACACACACACACACACGTACGTACGAGTGTAACGAAATGTTAAAAATTATGATATAGCCACGGTATAATATTATAATATTTTATACTAAAAAGAGGCAATATTGAATAGCATAGAATCTATATTGTGTATGGCAGACGATGGAAGTTGAAATAATTTAAAAACTTTCGTGTATACCTATATCTTTACGCGGTAGCCGGAAAAAAAAAAAGAAAGTCGGGCAGAGCACTGTAATAGTTTGTATTATTTCCTATACTACTAAACAGTACTTTTATTTATTATTATTTTTTTCTTGATTAATAATAACAGTATATTACGTCGTTAAAACTCGTTAAAAATTTTAGACTAAATACAATACGAACCGACGTTTTTTCAGAAGAAAATTTTATGAAATTACACCCTCACGGAAAAAAAAAAAAGCAGCAAAACAAGACTTGTGCTCGGGGCGAGCGATTCCGAAAAGTCGAAACCTATAAAATATAACAAACGATTGAATCCGTCGTAATAACCTACACTAACAGAATAAAAAAAAAAAAAAAAAAAATAAAAAATAGACCCGTGAGAAATGGCGCGGGCCCCCATTGTGCCCTCCGCGGGTTATGGCACCGACGGTACTTACAGCAGAAATTTATCACACCGATATTATGCGTATTTACTGTTAAAACCGGATCCTCGCGAACAAATAATTATCGTTGCGCATGTACATAGTGGATCAAATAAATATTGTTATCGAGAACAAATGCGATCCAATGTGTCTGTTCGTATTGTTTGTACAGCGGCATTTGTTTCGTATTTTAGGTCGCGTTTCTATTTTCGGGAATTGAATAAATATAAAAATATTTCGTTAAATTTTAAATGTTTGCCCGCACTCGTCGATTCTCAGAATCGGATTGTTGAAAACTTGTCATTGGTCGGGCACAGGGGCGTATTTAATATGGTGTTGGGTGGGCGGTAGATTCGGTAGATATATATTTTTCCCTCGACTTTTTTTTTTTTTTTTTCATCATCATCTATTTATTTATAATTTTCTCGACCTACATAGTATTTTTTTTTTTTGTTTAGATATAAATTTGTCTTAGGAAAAGTCAAAAAAAAAAATAACCCGATAAAAACTGAACGCATGCATTTTCTCGTAGATCGAATTATAAATTACTTACGAACATATTAAGAAATTGAAAACTGATATGTTTTTTCTTCCTTTTTTAGCCTTATTACAGATAAGACACGTTAAGCCGGTAGGTGTTATAAAATTTATGACGCGATTTCCGAATTCGATATCTCCCTCTTGGGAAAAAATCCTAAACACCTCATTGGCCGAGCGCAATAATTGTTACACGCAGTCATTAACGTTTAACGATTTAAGAAACGTGTTTCGTATTGTGTTAATATTTCGATTAAAACAGAATCTATAATGAATTTTTTTTATATTGTTGTAATTTTCGTATAAATTTTAAATTTTGTATTTTCGCGTATCTGTATTATTTATCTGGGGACAGGTTATTCGGGCATTTTGTCCAGGTATATGCCTACCGACCATATTTGTTTTGCTTAAGTAAACAAAACAAATAATAATGTTCGTAGTATAGTTTTATTAAAAAAATAAAAAATTACAAAACGATTTTTCGTGCGGGCTAGTGAAAACATTTTGTTAGTTTATACAATAATAATACAAGAACAGCGCGAATATTGTACGATTTGTATTATACGCCGCGTAGAACGGGTAAACTTTTTTTTTTTTTTCTTGCCGAAACATAATATTGCCGTACGAAGTCAAAACTTTTGTTACGAACGTAACCTGTTGTAATACGAAAACGTGCGAATTACAAAACGTAGTAAAAATACGGCACCCGTATTCGCGCAAAAACAAAAACCACGCGAACGTGTGTGTTTTATTCTGAAATATTGAATCGCGGACGGTTAGATTTCCGATTAATCGATCGATCGCAAGTCGTTCGTATCGAGCGAAATATCGTTGAAGTACATTTTACAGACGCACTGTCTGCGGTACCCCGGACGCGCGCGTACGCGTCCGATGTCGGACACCGGGTCGCCGCGGCGAACCCCCCCCCACCCCCGGCAGGCCGCGCGATAAAAACGGTCCGGGTCGATCCGATGAGGTCGGACGGGACAAGCGACGATAGCCGGGACGAGCGGACTTTTACGAGTCGAACGCCGCGCACGGTGTACAACGGTTTCGTCCGTTCCGGCGGGCCGCAAAACGGCGTCCGAAGGGCCGGCGACGCGCCGCCGTACGCCGTCAATGAGAACGTTGAACGTGAGCCGTCCTGGAATTGTCTTCGGTCGTTTTAGAGGGCCGTGGACACTGCGCGTTCGGCGGACGCGGCGGAACGCGCGCGCCGTCGGTTGGCCGTGTCGAACCGTCAGCGAGGACGTTGCCGCGGGGAAAA